CCCAATCCAACACGTTACATGTTAAACTAGCATATCTATATTGTCAGTTAGTCTTATGACTTTGCTTAAAATCTTATTTGAGAGCTGAAATGGGGTTCATTCTAAAACATATGTGGCCAGTGACAACTGAATTTTATTATATAAATTTTAAGATTATAATATTGCTTTTTTTTTAAGTTGTCCAGTTTTGGACGACTGTGCGACAGGTTTTCGCAGATTCATCATTAAAGGATTTTACTTTGGGCTCTTTAATCGACATTTCGCCATTCCTTAAGGGGCTTCGTCTTTTGTCGGAGTTTCGTCTGCTTCATCTTTTGTCAGAGTTTCTTCTTTCGTCAGTTTTGTTGTTTTAAATTTAAGTTAAATTTTTTTCTATTTTTCACCGTTACAAAAGATTTTCAGCATCGGATAAAGTAAACCAAATTAGCCATTCAGCCGAATGCCACAAATTCAATTTTTTTTTTTTTACGTAGGGATTTTGTGCTTGTACACTCATTATGCCTTGTCCGTGTTGACTTTTGTTGTGGTAAAAAGCGAGTGTAATGTGGAGTGTTTTTTTAGTGACGAATGAAGAGTGTGTTTGAATGACGCATTGATATCTATATGGAATGTTCTTCAGTGGCGTATGTTTGAGTGGCACATTGGTGTGGCGTATTTATTTTATGACGTTTTGTGCTCATTGACAAAGACAATTTTTGTGGTGTGTGTGACTTATGACATTTGTGTGACAGATGTATTATGCTTCTATAAAAGATCACCTAAAAATAGAAATTTAAGTGTTGGTTATTAGAATTCAAGCAAATAGGAATAAAACTATCACTTTTTACACGTAAAATTTCATTCTCAATTAGTTACAAAGGGTTGATTTAAGCATGAAGTTTCTCGTGTTTTATTTTATTCTTATTTCTTACGTGCTTGGATTTTTATTTATAATGTTACAATAATTTCCTTTTCAAAAATTTGTATTACCGGAATAAATATGTAAAACGGGGTCATACTCGTATCGGTTTCACTTTGTGATCGCCGAATCAGACAAATAATGCTGTGATGCATTAGACTCAAAGGTATAAAGGTATATCCGAAGAGAATTTTTTCATCTTTCATAGCTTCTTTAGAGCTCTAATCACAATAGTATTGAGAGAAATGTGAAGTGTCAACACCATCACAAAGTTTTTCACGATTAGTTGTTAGAAGTAAAAAATAAATTAATTATAATTTGGTAAATAAAGTTCTAGATACGTATAACATAATTTTTAATGTTAAAAATTAACAAATAATAAATGTTACATCAAACAATAAATAATTTTTAATTTAAGCTTTTTTTTTTTGTATCTCTAGTACATATATTTGTTTACTTTGTTGAATGTGATTTTCGTCTTACCTTTCTAAAAATAAATCTGTGATACCTTAAATTTTATATAAGGAGCCGCACCAAATTGAAAGAATTTTTTGAGTGTTCGATTATAAAGCCAATTCTAATTTTTATCACTTACAATTTTGTATAAATAAATTCATATCGTCAACTTAGTTCAAATCCATAAAATCTGATAATTTGATATATTTTAGAAGTAGTAAACCAACATAATAAGTATTTTGGATTTGAAATGAATTGAATCGCGGGATATGAATAATTATTATTTTGAATAAACTTATTTATGAATCAACCTTTAGTATTTATGCATCGTTCAAATTGTCACTCCACATTTGAAAACATAGATATAATGCGTAATAAACTTCGGCAAAGAGCTCATGTTACCAATGCATGTACACATTGTAAACAGATACGAAAAAAATGTTCTGGTACAGCTACTTGTTCAAATTGTAGAAAACGAAAAGTTGAATGTATCTTTGTTAAACCAAATGAAAAACGTGGACGTAAACCAAAACAAAGAATTTCTAATTATTGTGGTGAATTTAGTTATTTTAAATGCGATTTATCTACACATACCACGCCACAAACACAAACTGCTACCAACATCTTATCAGACGAATCTCCAACTGATATAAAGAATGCTATTCCAACGGTGTATGAATTATCAACTCATCCTGGACTCCCTAATGTACGTTCTTTTGTTATTGTCAAGTTAGTTATTCAATAATCGCTTACAATACTTTTTATTGTTTTATTTGCAGATGCCGACAAATAAACCAAATCAAGAAATTTTAATAAACAATATCGATAATAATGATTCAAAATCAAATTCTTTACAAATTATTGAACATTCGTTTCCTCACCCTTCTCCCCCTATGAATTTCATATTAAATCGAATAACTTCAACAAACAATAACAATAATAATTATTCAGCAACAATTATAGACAATTCATTATCATCTAGCTTTATTACATCAAATCAATCAATTTCAATAAACAATGAACAAGAAGCTGACATATTAATTTATTCACAAGATTATCCATTTCACAATTCCTCAATATCAGAAATTTGTGAACATAACATTACCAGCAATCCTATTTCTCCAAGCGGAATTTACATGGATTGTCCACATATACCAATTATAGAATTTGATTCTTTTGAATTAGGAATTTGTGAATACCGATACTATACGAATGATCCGACACATCAAATCGAGACAAACATGAGTTATCCGCAGCAACCAACTTCGCAAGTTGATTCTTTACAGTTAGGAATTTATGAAAATAGCTTTACAAGTAATCCTTGCAACTTAATATCTTCATCGGAATTATTGGATTCGACAAATATACAACATTTCGATGACGATTCTGTAAATAATAATTATTGAGAATAAAAACTACTTATTCTCTCTTATATTTGTATGTGGTATGGCTTCTCACATGGAGTATTTTATATCATAAACGCTTATAAAACTCTGAGTTCAAATAATATACATGCATACGTATATTGATATGAATTTACTTAAATAAAAGTATACGATTAGTATAATTCCACGTGCTTGTCGCATGCTTTTTCTACATTTATACGTATAAATTTGGAAATTACTTAATAGATTAAATTTTATGCTCGATGACCAGTTACTATCTCTGTGATGCATTGAATTTTCCACGTTTCTGATAATATTATGCCGAATATATGTTTTTTTTCCCTTTATTATTACATACACTACATTTAAAGCTTCAATTATCTCAAAAAAAAAAAAAAAAAAACTTTTTTTTTTCTTTTTATATATATTTATTTTGAAAATTTTTATTTTTTTAAATAGATTTAGAAAAGTTTTATTATTTTTTTAAAAATGTTATAACCTTGTATCATATTATAAATAAAAGATTTATTAAATTATAAATTTTTTAAACAATTTATCAAAGATTTTAAACTTAGAAATAGAAACCATCAAATTTCAAAAATTATATCCTCATCGTTAAAAAAAATTAGCTAATTAAATTTGTAAAAAATCATCTTATTATAAAAAATTATTTAATTTTAAGATCAACACACTATCACTCATAGAGGCTGATCCCGTAAATAATATATCACCAAATTGAATATTGAATAATTAATAGTTATCATGCAGGCACTGCCTAATAACTGGTTTATTTGGTCATTAATTAAGATTCACATAAGAAATTTCGAAGAAATTCATTTCTTATGCGGATCTTAAATTTATGACCAAATAAATAGGTTATTAGGAAGTAATAGCATGACTGATACTGTAATGGATTTACAATAGTCTGCTGAAACAATTTTATTATTCGGCAACTATGTTGTTTCTGCCGAATAATAAATTTATTTAGCAGTGTAAACTGCCAGATAAGTATTTTTTTACTAAGTAAACTCAATGAATATTCACTGTTAAACTGATAGTTTAAATCCGGATGAATGAAATATTGAAGGGAATTAGGTTTTGAAACCGGATGTCAGATTTTAATTATTTGTGTAACCTACGGTCGGCTAAGGTCGTGTTAGATTTGGCGAGTTAGTGGGGTTCCGTAGGTATGTATGTATGTATCTCTATCTCTAAGCTTTCTTTAACCTCAGCTATACAACATATTTCATGTATCTGGACTTAATAACCTCAGTTGTACCTAGTACGTCAGATTAACAATTAGACGTGGTATCGAATTTAACGAGGGGTCACGTGAGCACGGGTTTATTAAGAGGTTGTTATTTATTCGATAGTTTGGGTTAATTTAGACTTTATTATGTATAGGTAACTATATTTATATTTAATAGAGCGAAGATAGGAGATGTTTTTCCCGTTGTTGCTCACTTTCCCGATGGTCATTTCCCCGACAGGCCATTTATTTGACATCACATAGGCATTTTTATTAGGGTTAGGTATATATTATTAGTAAATTATCACCTTGTATGATGTCAGGTAAATGTCCTGTCGGGGAAATGACCATCGGGAAAATTATATGTAACCGTCTTTCCCAAGGGCCAACACGGCCTTTATTTATAATATAATATTTCTCTACATAAAATAGCTTAAATAACTCAAGTTCCTGATATACAATATCCATATCATATGTAACAAAAGTAACGAAACCTTCACTGATTAAAAAAGATCAATATTTGCTAGGAAATAGATGGTACAAATATACACTTAATTACAGTAAATATATGGGGTCTTTGCCTTGAAAATGACCTTACGGGACATAGTAAATCATATGATCCAAACTTGTTTATCGTAATTAAGTGATCTTTTAAACAGTGCTTATATTTATTACTTATCCCTCAAATTACACTTTCCCGGTGATCTTCATTTTGTGATTCAAGTGAAATAACTTGCATTTGTACCCGTGACTTTAGATCACGTTTCGCCAATCCCGTGATTATGGTTTGAGGCCTGACGAATAGGGATGTTAAATGTACGGTCCAGTCTGGTCCCAGTTCGTCCTGGTCTTGAACTAGTTAGGAACTAGTTCAATACAGCAATATTAATTATTACATTACGATTTAAAATTCACCAATCGGAGTTCTATTAATCACCCGATTAGTGATGAAATATCTGTAAAATTACTGCTAATAAAAATATTTTTCTTGATTTATTTTTAATTAAATTTTATTTAATGTGTCAAAAATGACACCTATTTATATCAAGTGATTTTTAACTAGTTCGGACCGGTTCTTAGTGGTCCTGGTTTAGGACCAGCGCTGAACTAGTTCCTTTCGGACCACTTAACATCCCTACTGACGAATGACGAAACCTTTCGTCAAGCAATTTCTGAATGACGAATTGACGATTGACGAAACCTATGACGAAACCTATAATGACTGATAAAGCATAAAACAATTATTCTTTACTTTTATAATGAAAACTAGAACATGATTATGTAGACGCCTTGGATTAATAGTAAAAATATTTATATTAGTTAACTAACTTGTACTTACATTATAATCTTCTTAATGACTAAAGATTAAACCCAAGTAGTAATGAATACTGCAAAACAAAACCTGCAATAATTATAATTTCACTTAGAATTGTGGTATTACATAATTAATCACTATATTATCAGTATTCGATCTTTTCGATAATACATATTAAATTGGTATGTAATATCAAAATCTAACAGGGGCTAAGTTCGCTAAAGTGTAATATAATTATTACAGATTTTTGCTTTGCAGAATAGCGAACTTTATTGTGATTATTTAATTTTTGTAGATCATTCTATTAGTTAATCAAAATAAATCATGTTTGAAACTAAATTAATGTTAAATTGTGTATGTAAAACTAAATAGAATTAAAAATATGTTATTATAATATCAGAAAATTTTTTTAGAGGCTATATATTGAGATATAGCCTTTAAACGCTATATATTGATTCTGAGAGATCATCATGAGGTTTGACTAAGTTCATTACTGCGACTTTTTGGAATTGGACCTAAATTAAGAACCCTGAATTACTATGTGGTTATCATAATTATTAATAATTATTACATATCAACCACATGACGCATCTATCAAAATGATCCCCAAATCTAATAAAACTAATATAACTATTGTGTCAAACCCATCTCCCCACCTTAAAACCCATCTCCTATTTTTTTAAAGTCGATCTGTTTATGGTATATTTTTATTTATTAAAAATTTTAGTAATTATTACCAATATGTAATTTAAGATATTTTCTATTTTAAGTAACTCCAATGGCTATCATTTCGAAGTTTGAATGTAATATATGTGGAAATTTGTATAAAACAAATAGAGGACTCAAAAGACACCTCAACATTGTTACAAAATACAATGCTTCATGTTCTGACCTCGATACTTTGCCTGAAGACACTATACAACAATTTAAAGGCATTTTAGTTTACTATATTTACAAACAATTACCAAAAGGATCTAAACGACTAGGAAAACAAACAGTATCGATTCCTGCTACAGAAAGTCAATTCTACGCAATATTTAAAAATTATATACATTATTATTTTATATCAAAAAGCAAATATAAATGTATATTTCATGGAAGTTCATCTAATCAATTGTTAGCAAGTATTTTAGATACGCAAAATTGGGGAATTAAATTTTATGAGCAACGACAATGCACTTATATTGTGCTTTGTGACAATATTGATGAAGAAAATCCTATAGTACAAGCTTTTGCACAGCAATTAGCTCATAATAAGAAGTTCTATAAGCCGAAATACAAACGGGGTCAATTCATAGTAGAATGGAAAAAACAAAAAAATATTGATATTAATGGTAATATTACTCAAGCAGGTCATATTTATTTTCATTTTTACATTAGTCAAGCTATAATTTAAATAAATTGCATGCAGGAAATTATAATTATTAAATAAATTATATGCAGAAAATTATATAATTATTTCAAATATATAATTGTTTTTATGTTTTTATATGAATCTTTTGTGGTCGTTGCTGCTTAACTAAAGTAGTATTATTATAATAAAGTATTCTATTTTCATGTTGTAAAATTTCTATAATTGTATTATTATTATGCATTGTTTTATAAAAAAAATATGATATTTGCTGATGATTTTTCTTTTCGACTCCACTACATGAAAATTTTGCCAATTCCCATTTTTGATGAATTATTATAAATTCAGAAAGATGATAAACTAGTATATGAATATATGGTGTCATATCGTTAGGTTGATATAAACCCTTTTTGAATCCTTAAGTATTTGGAATTCCTTCAGATAGTAATAAAAATAAGGCAAGCCACTTTTTTGCATGATACTGAAAGTCATCACCCTTTGTATTAGGATTCTTTATCATTCTATATAGCTCATAAAATTTGTTCCACAATTCTCTTATAATACTAGCATGACTTTTTGAGAAAATTGTTGATAAATCAAAGAATTGTAATATTTTGAGTTTGTCATCTCCCATTAACGAGATATAATCCCAATCTTTAGATTCATGATTTTGCCAAAATTTAAAACTAACTTTAATTCTACTCATCTCTTCTATAATAATTTTTCATGCAATATCATTAAATATATTATATTTAATTAATTCAGCTATTACAAGACTCTATAATTGATCAGTGATTCTAAGCATTATATGCAATTCATCAGGAATCCAACAATGAAGAGGTATTATACTAAAAAGTAGCATTTTTAAATGTCCTTTTTAGTAATTAGGATGTTCAATTAACATATCTATTTTTTTACAAATCCTCCAATCAACTGATAAATTTCCTTGTTGTGATTTATTAATTGTATACCACAGACAAAAGTTTTTGCTATTGACATTATTAAAACCCAAGCAAATTGCTAGGAATTTCTAGTCAGATAAAAAATAAAACTAAAAGCTCCATTTAATATTATTAACTATTAATCCTTGGTCTTTTAAACTAATTAAACCATCACAAAATGAAGCTGTTATATTCATTAATATCTCATAGTCTTCTGAACCAGAGTAAAGTACAATTGTATAATGATAATTTGGTTGTTGTATTGTATCTTTATTATCTAGAATAGCTATCATTATCATTATGTGTTTTACTTGTCGTTCAACATTTTGCCTATCTCCAAATATTCAATGATTAATAATTGGTTAGTGCAACTTTAAAATTCCTTTTTAAACAAGGTTTGGAATTAAATATTGCAAAATGTCTTTAATACTTCTATAACCACCTTTGCTAATTATATTAACTACTTCTTATACTATAGACTCATCATCTATATCTGCTTTTTCAGTTTGATTGATTTGACCTTTATTAATTATATCTATGATAGATATTGGTATAAGCTATGCTATTTTTTTATTTATTGCTTGGCGTTCTTGATATATTAACTTTTCTAATGGTAAATGAAACTCTATATCACATAAATCTCGATAAGAATTTCTTGAAATATTTTGTTTGTTGAATGTTTTAGCTATCAACTCAGCTTTTTGCTTTTTTTTAATTTTATCATTATCTCCATAATTAATCTCATAATTATGCTTCTTAACTGAATAACTTAGACTTTCTAATATCAGTATATCATCAGAATTGTAGACTTCTGAAATTTTCTCATTAAATTCAGTTAACATTAATTTTTCAATATTAACAGCCCGTTTTGTAAGATTAGAGTTACTACATTGATCAACTTGCTTTAATGCATTCAAATATCGTTTTGATTTTCTTACTTCATCTAATATTTTAAGATAAAGGCCAAATAAATATACTCCTGATGTTTTAGTTCCTTTTTTAGGTGTATGTTTCTAAAAAATAAAATCATATTAATTTATATATAATAAATATTAAATATATTCTTAAAATAATAACTATTAAATACAAACTTTATGAAATAAATTTGCAGTATCTGTAGCCATTTTAGTAGAAGATACTTCATATTCAAAGTGTTTCCCAAAACATATTTGAAAAACTGGACCTTCTTTATTATAGTTAATAGAACATCGAATATTACATTAGTTATAGCTTCTACCCAAGTAGTTTCTATTATATAATTGTCAGGAATTTAATATTTTTTTGGCAAAAAGGTATGTGCTAATAATGATTTATTAGGATATGTGCTTTCTTTGATAACTTTATATAAAAAGCTATGATTTGGTTGTTTAAATTTAATAATTGAATCGAAAGGATAATTATGAATTTTTTGTATATCATCTATTGTAAAAAAGTAAGCAATAAATTATTAATATCGATATTGTATATATCTCTTAAATAGTTAATCATAGTCAAAATCATTTGACTCATATTAACACATCTGTCATATATTCGTCATAATTTTTAGGGTAGTGTAAAAAGTTACCGTAATGTGAGACGCTCATAGGTTTTGCATAGAAATTCTCAACATGAAGTGTGAGACACTTAGTTGTCCTTGACCTCTTTTTTTTTTTTTCTTTTCTTTTCAAATTTTTTTTTCTTTTCTTTTCAAATTTTTTTTTTCTTTTCTTTTTGAATTTTTTTTTCTTTTTTTTTCAAATTTTTTTTTTTTTAAATTTTGTTTTTTTTTCTTTTTTTTTCAAATTTTGTTTTTTTTTGTTTTTTTTTCTTTCTTTTTGAATTTTATTTTTTTTTTGTCTTGCATGCTTTGTTATTTTTTTTCTTTTTTATTTTTTCTTGAATTTTTATTTTTATACTTCAGTTTATTTTTCTTTATGAAATTAGAACTTTTTTTCGAATTTGCTTTTTTTTAATTTTGCTTTTTTTTTTCTTTTCTAATTTTTTTTTTCTAATTTCTCACTCTTTTTCAGGATATAGGTTGTTATAAATTCTCAATTAGCAGATATATATATCTATATATAGATAATAAGAAATTTTCTTATTAGCTAATCTAATTTGTTTATTAATATCTATTAGAAGTTTATTAAATTTTTTATTTTTTTCTATTTCTAGATTATTTCTAGTTATAGTAAACTATTCTACTGAATCTACTATTTTAAGATTCAAAACATTAGTATTTTTAACATTTTGATATTAGACTTTGAAATCTTTAAAATTTAGTTTTTGAACTTCAAGATTCTTTCTAATTTTAAGATTTTTTTGTTTTTTAGCTTGAAAATTTCAGTATTTTTAGCAAAACTATTTTGAACTTCTAGATCTTCAAAAATAGTATAATTCTAGTTTTTTTTTAAGTTGTCTTTATCACCAAATTTTATTAAAGGATATATATTAATATATATCTATAAAAGATTTATATCTATTTAAATCCTCTCTGTTGCATATAATTGATTACTACATATATCAATAAATAATAATTAACTATTAAAAATTGTTAAAAAATGATTTAATTACTTATACCAAAAAATATTGTTAATTAATGATTAGAATTTATTTAAAATGATTAATATCAATATCAGAAATTTAAAATTGTTATATAAAAATTATTATTAATATAAAATGATTTTAATTAATTTTATAAAACCTGAATTAAATATTATTGAAATAGTAATAGATTAAATTATAAATTTATATTTTTACTAAACAGATTTAGCTTTATATTACAAAAATATTAGTAATTTATTAATACTTTTATTAATTTAATACTTTTATTAATTTGTTAATTATATATTAATTTACTAAACAAATTATATACAAAAAAAATATATAAATATATATCTATTACTATAACAAAAAATATATATTTAAGATCATATAAAGCTATAAATCAATTTCTATTTGTATTAAGAAGTTAAAAAAAAAATTCTAAATAAGAAAAAAATAGCAAAAAAAAATAACATAGCAAAAAAAATAGTATAGCAAAAAAAAAATAGTAAAAAAAAAAAAACAGCAAAAAAAATATTAAAATCATTAATATTCAAAGTTATTCAAATCAAAAAAGCTATCTTGTTCTTCTTCAAAAATAGCATAAAACTTTCTTGCTATAGAGCAGAAACACTTTTTTACTATGAGCTAAGAGTAGACCTAGTTTCGTCAATTTGTTTATTTTGAGGAATCACTAATTCATTTTTTATTATATTATTAAATAAGATTAGAGAAGGACTACTATACTCAAATTAGCCTATATATAAATATATTAATCAAAATAAATCAGTTTTTTTTTTTTAAAAAAAAAAAAATTATTAGAATATTAGGTAATAATAATATCTGATTGCTTTTATTTTGAACATAAGTACAAAAATTAAAACCAATAGACACTAACTCTATATAATCTAATTTCAAATATTTATAAAAAAGCTTGAAAGACAATATTTCATTAGTTTTTTACTACAAGTAGTAGTTTTTGATCATAGATTTAAGATAATATCACAAACTGATAATATAAAATATAATTCTTATAGTTTTAGGTTTAGCATATACTTTGAATACAATTGCTGTAATCTAATATATATCATTATAATTTTTTTTAAATAATAGTTTGTAGTAATTCTCAATCTCAGAAAATCTTTTACAATTTATAAACTCTTCTTAAGTAGCACTACTTTTTAGTAATAGTAGTCTCTCTAAACTAAAAATATAATTTATTACTTCTTTAATAGCTTGCACTATTATATCTCTATAGTTTTTTATTTTTTAAAGCATCTGTTTTGTCAGAAATAAATATAGTTTAAGTAAATATTTCAATAAAAAAACAAACTTATAATAAATAAATTAAATTTTATTGATATTTAACAAATATTCATTTATCAAACTATACTATTTGCTATAAAAGTAATTTGAATAATCTATTGCACTCATATTATAGTCAGAGAATTTTGTAGCAAGATAATTCTTTAGTTTCTTCTTCAGAATATCCTGAGTAGGATAAACATGCTTTAGAAAAAAACTTTTTACAATGCAAAGCAATACATCCTAAATTTATTAAATAATTACTCAAAGGTAAACCATCTTTTGAAGCTACTTCTTAATATAATAAAAAAAATATATATATTTATATAAAGTATTTAATTCTATTACTTAAGAAGAGAGATCATTTTTGCTAATCTCTCTTCTCCAAAACTCACTTTTAAATTCATAAAATTCTTTGCTCAAGTTTTTCAATAAAATATATTATTATTGTTATTAAGCAAATATTCACTCAAATATTTGCTACATGCTGGCTTATTAATATTGCTACTGTTGCTATTGTAGTGCTATTGTTAGTACTGCTACTAGTACTGTTGTTAGTACTACTACTAGTGCTATTGTTGGTGCTGTTGTTAGTGCTGTTGTTAGTGCTATTGTTAGTACTGTTGTTGCTGATAGTGCAGATGTTGTACTTGATATTTATAAAAAAAAAATTTTTTTTCAAAAAAAAAATCTATTCAAAATGTAAAAAAAAATTGATGAACTATAATATAATATTTTGATTATATAATGAATTTGTATTGAATAATCCTCTATTACATGATCTTATAGTATTCCTTTCTTCTAATAAATTAGATAATAGAGATTGAAATTTATATTGTAAATAGCAAGAGTGTGATCTTGAGTGAGAATAATATGAATATTGAGAATGTGATCTTGAGTGAGAATGATATAAATATCAAAAACATAATCTTAAAGAAGAATAATATAAATATTGAGAATATGATCTTAAGAAAGAATTAAAAAGATAATAATATGAATAATCTAAATAGAATAGTGAATAATGCAAACAAAAAGGTGTTTGTTGCATTAGTTATAATAATTCTAATAGTTGTTCAGTATTTTAACAGAATAAAGGGTATAAAGAGAATTGATAAGAATATAATTGTTGTACTAAGAACTAACATGATCAGTTTATTCTTGAGAAGATTTCTTAAATACTTGCTATACTTTTAGAATCTTCTTTTGAACTATTAAAATTATAATCAAATTGAATATTTTAGCTATTAGAAATTATTAAAATAGAATAATTTAGTATAATAGAATTATAAAAATATCATAATAAGTTGTTTTCATTATTTTCTATTTCAAAGACTAAAAAAAAACTTTACCTTTCTAATACTTTATCAGTTATACTTATATAACTAAAAAAAATAAAGAAAAAAAAAATAATTTAAATAAATAAGAAAATTATATAATTGAATATGCTCTAATAATTATATAACTTATCTTTTTTGCTTTGTTATTATGCAATTTCCTAAGATTAATTTACTATTAATTGTTATTATAAAAAAGTTAAAATGTAAATATAATAAAGACATAATAACTTAAGTATATATATTTTTTATTAGTTAAAATAATAATCAATTATGATTACTTCAAAGATCACTAATTAATATTAAATTTAATTTTAGATCACTAATAATATGAAAACTAAACTTAAATGATCTATAGTAGTTAAAAATAGTTTTTTAATATTCAAAAAAACTTAATTAGTTATTATCACTATATAGTTTTAGAGCTAATAAAGAAAATCTAAAAATAAATCTTTAAGCTTATTATTGTAGCAAGCAAACTTTTAATTCACTAGTAGCAAACTGAAAGTTTACTTGCTACAATAGTAAACTTAAAGATTTATTTTCAGATTTGTATTAGAATTAATATATTGAATTATAAATTTTTAAATACTATTTCTATTAATTTGTATTGTTTTCGGTTATTAAATCATAAATTTTTTAATGCTGTTTCTATTAATTTGTATTGTTTTTAGTTTATATAGAAATGTATTGTTTTCTGTTATTATATTTTGATATAAAACAAATTAAATCAATAAATATCATTTAAACTAATTTTTAAATCTTTCTTTTTACTAGTCAATAAATTGTTATATATTATTTTAATACAGTTTTTCTTTTTCTAAAATGAATTAGCAGTATATAAATTGTAATTACAAATTTTCAAAATCTTATATATTAATACAATATATTTTACTAAAGTATCTATATAACTAAGATACAAATCAAACTATTTCTAATAAGCAATTAGATGATAATATTTGGTT